ATGTAAAGTTGTGCGATAAGTTCTACAGAATGAGTGTTATAATCCGCGGAAATGGTTATGTGGGCATAAAATATACAACAGTAAAAAGGATTTTTCATTCCATTAAATTTACCCATAATATATGAGCCTGATAAGAGTTACGCCATATTCTATAATAATAAAGAATTATAACCTTATGGCAGAGAAAATGTCTGCACAGCCTGTCGTATAATATAAAATACTTTTTATTTAAATGCAATTTATCAAATAATTTTTATAACGTTGTATGTAAAGCTGGCATCACACGGGGTGTTCGCGAATACTGTGATGCTGGCTTAATTTTAAGCCGACATCGACTTTACTTAGACCACAATTAGGCCAGGAAAAAAGCTGGGATATGACCATTTCGCGACTTTTTGTTTCGGCAAGCTGAATTTATTACTATAGATGTTAAATATTGTGTACAATAACATGCTATGCTTGTACGGAGGATTGGCACCCTCCTCTGTGTATGTGTATGGTAGGGTGGAAGAATGTTGGCTTGGGTCAATGTGAGAGATTGACACCGGTTGGCATTTAACCACCCCCCAAATTAATGAGGTTTTCCAGGTTTCCCTCATTCCTGCACTGAATGGTGGTTAGGGCCTACCAACATAAGTCGTTCCTGGGCGCAAATAGGTTGTCCTAGGTTGTAAATTTGAAATTAAAAAAAAAATGATAGATTTCAATGTATTATTATGAAATCTACCACGAAAAAAAATCAGTGCGATTGTGGAAGATCCTCGGAATCGTCCAGACTAATAATGAGTTAATTTGTTTATAAGGCCGTAACTTGTAAACTATTCAACTTACCGATTCCAGATTTCGTGTGAGTTATTAGACAGTGATAATGAATGAGAGGATGCAATGACAAAACGTTCTGGTAACAATAACGCAGTTTATAAAAAATGTTTAATTCAAAAGTCATAAAAAAACTTCTTCTGTTTATAACTTTTGATCTAATCAATATTTTTTGACGCTCGAATTCAGTTTGCCGAAACAAAAAGTCGCGTCCATTTCTACATTTCCTTCACTGTTTCGAATGCATGGCATAAGCAATCAAGACCTAGACGTGAAAATAAAAATTTAACTCGTCAAATTTTATGAATAATCTTTTTTCTCGAACACTTCTCTCATTTTTCGAACTACAATATCAGTGACATTACTGATCAAATTAACACAAAAACCCTTACATATCATCGTTAAATTAGTAATTAACAATGAGTTTTTTTTAGTTTGTTTTTAAATTTTATACACTTTATATGCTGCAATATTATGAATAAACGATTACTAATTGATTATTTAGACTTAGTCATCGAGTCCCCTTTTCTTCTCGAAGAATAACTGATTTGTTTTACTTGGGAAAAATTAATTAATTTATCGAACAAAAAATGTTATGCCAACTTTGTTGTATAAGTTTTCTGTTAAACGCTTTCTGATGACCTTTACTCCTATTAAAGTGTAAATTGTTTGTAGGTATATTAGTAATGAACTTGATGAGATCTGTTTCCGCTGCAAAAAAGTTGGATTTTCAATCGATTCAAGATGAATATTATTAGTTCCACTTTTTGTTTCTTATATAGATATCGGGAAAATAAATTTATGTTTATTTAATACGCTGAGAATTTGGTAAAACAAATACAGTGTCTTCATACACGCCCGAGCCCCACGTGACCAGCTTTATTTTGGAGGTCAGTAAATTTGATTTTTTTAAGTTGGTGTTCAGAAATTACCAAGAAAAATTACCAACTTAGGACACTAGATGAAATGTCAATCCAGAGGCGTTCGTAATTTTTCGTGTTATTGTTTGTACAATTTGGCAGGGTTTACCAGTATTATACTTCTCTACAAATTAATCATTGCCGGTTGAGTTGAAAAAAAAAATGTTATGTTCATTTCTTTCATTGTTATTTCTTGTAGATTTGTGTAAAAATGCCGTTTACACCGAAACAAGACGCATTCTTATTTTGATGGCACATTTTCGCAGTGGCATACGGAACGTATATGGAATTTGATCTTATTTTTTGCAATCCTGCCTGGAACAATCCACTGAAGCCTTTCCTGATACTAATATTGTATATGATGTGTTTAAAAACCACAGATTAATCCTTATTAAAAGATATGAGGAAAAACACAGCATTTGTAAGGGCAAATCGACAAGCAGACTTACTGTTTAATAGAAAATGTTGTTGAAGATATTCGATAACGTATGGTGCAAAGTCCTAAGAAACCTGCTTCGCAGTTATCTACTCAAACAGGTATTGCGATAAACTTAATGTAGTTTGTATTATGTAAATTTTTTAACCTGAAGCTAAAGTTAAAAAATTAAATAATTTTGAAAATTTTTTAATACTAATATTGAACTGTGTTTTTTATCAACATATAAAATATTATGTTGGTTAATTTGTGTATTTACAAGAAATAACTGTACATATTCTATTGACAAATGTCCGTAGGTGTATCAGTTGGGACTTGTCACAAGGCATTAAAGATGCAGCTGCATATGTATCCCTATGAGGTTTCTGTTGTGCAAAAGTTACATCCTCCTGATCCCAATCAGCGAGTACATTATTGTCAATGGTTTAATGAACATTTAAACGACCATAATTTATTAGACCTGACGTTTTATTCGGATGAGGCATGGGTACATTTATATGGTTGTGTAAATAGTCAGAATTATAAAACTTGGGAAAATCCGCTTAATTTTATTGAAACATCGTTACATCCCCAGAAGATCTGGATCAGTTTCAAGAAGACGGATAATAGGACCAATTTTTTTTCCGAGAAGTAATAAATAAAGAACGATACCGTAACATTTTACAACAAGCCCTGGAATTAATACATGACGATGAACTGCAGCATGGGTATTTTCAACAAGATGGAACCACATCACTACTGCAGCAGAAACTATCTTCAGCAATTTTATGGTGATTTTTTATGGTTACTAGGGGTTTGTGGCCTACTCGAAGCCTTAATCTCACGCCTTTAGATTTTTATCTGTTTGGTCATATCAAAAATAACATATTTAAACATCCTCTCCACACCCTTGAATAGCTGGAAGCAACAATTGAACATGAAAAAAATAGTATAACACCAAATGAACTTGAACGTATTTTTGAGTGCATGAAAGGCAGAGTAAACTTTTGTTTGGAAAATGAAGGTGGTCATTTTGAATTACTTTGATTAATACTATAATAAATACTTTTTAGCTGAGTAAAAAACTTTGTGTTTATGTTAGTATTGTAAAGTAAGTTAATTTACTTATAATTTATATTTAAATATTGAAAATAAAATAAAACACACTTTTTGTATTTTATTAACATTATTTTCATTACCTCTGAATGAAACTGGATTACAAAAGAGCCTACATTTTTTACAAGAATAACTTTCAATCAAAAAATAATTTTTCAATATACCTAGAAGAAAATTTCAAAATATCTAGAGGGGTATGATTATTATGTAAGTAAAAATGTAAAGAATGATTTTTTTCTATTGAAAAAGAAACATATTTTGAACATTATTGTGATTTCACTAGTAACGTCATAAAATTATTTCTTGGTGGCATCTATACAGGGTGTTTGTAAATAAGTGTGAAATATTTTAGGGGGTGGTTGCAGAAGTTATTTTGTGAAAAAAAAGTAGGTCGAAGTATGCTTCGTTTCCAAGATATACTGTTTAAATTTTAATTTTTAATTTCATTTTTAAAGACTCGAAATTTGATGGTTATATTTTATTTAGTTTTATCTTTTTCTTCATTCTACCAACAAAATTGAAGGGACTATTTTCATTCAGAATTAATGGCAGATGTCTAAAAAATATCAAACCGGGAAAAAGTCAGTGGCGTACCATCTTTTTCGCACGAACGCCACTGGTGCAAGTAGAAATATTTGGATCACCCCAAAAAATGCACATTTATCCCTCCGTTTTTCAAAATTTCAAGTCAATATCTTTAAAACTCTGAAATAATCAATAAAAGTAAATAAAAAATTAAAATTTAAACACTCTGTATATCGGAAATGAAACATATTTCGACCTACATTTATATGAACTTTTTTTCACAAAATAACTTCAGCAACCACCCCCTAAACTATTTCGTACTTATTTACAAACATTTCGTCACACTTTATAAAATAAAGCCAACAGGGTTTAACCAGTGACTATAACAAGAATTCTTGTTATAGTCACTGGTTTAACGTATAACTATAATTTTAGTAAAATATCAGTTCTCTCGACCGAAAGTCTATGGGATATCCATCTGAACGAGTATCAAATTAAAATGCCGTTGCACGTTCCATCTAGTTGTACAGTGTCACTCTTGAGTTATCCGCTGGGCGAACAGAGAGTATTTTTAGCGAAATTAAAACATTTCATGTGAAACGCATATTTTATTAGGCAAGCCAAAGGCTCTGGAAATGTAAAATAAATTTAATTTTGCTAAAAATTGTTAAAATAATGTAACTGACCACGAGCAGTACAAGAATTGGAGATAAAATGGCTAGCGTAATTTATGTAACAGACAATTAATCATTAAATGTAAATATTAACAACGCAATTGCAACAAAAAGAATTAAATACTTATTTAATCTAGCGATTTCATCTAAATTCTTGTGAGGCTGTTTCTTTATACATTTTTATAGCAGTTATTTTGAATGGAAATAATTTGCTTCAACCCAACGGTTCAACGTTGATAATTACTATGTTACCTTTCTTTAACCACAGAAAGTTTGGGAATTACCTTTATAATAACGAATAAATTAAATTTATTAAAAGGATGCAGGTATGTGCTTTGCGTGATGATGATGAACATTATAATTTGTAATATTGTAGATAGACGATATGACTGGTATCGAATCAAAATTCAAGGCAATCCTATAACCACTACAGCGTGTCGTTTCGTTCCTATTTTTCTAGTGACGCAGTTCGTAGTGTCGCGCTAATAGGATTACCCAGAACTGGGGGTACTGAAAGCAAGATATATGTACCATAATCGTGTGTCCTTGTTCAGATCATGTGGGGGCTGGAAGGGTCAGCGAAGTTAAAACTTATGGACGATCCCTGGTATCCAAGACTACACCTCCGTACAAGTACAGTAATACCTCCTAGTGCAAAACACCAAATTCACTAACACCAAATCGCATTTTCCTGCACAGCACAATAACTCCAAGTTGCGAAAGAACTACCACCTCAGTCATCCTATCGATGCACCGAAAGCTCGAACGATTTAAATTCTCGGCTTAAACCTGTACAGATAAGATTACTGTTTGTTCAATCACCGTTTTCAAGGCTTGTCGACGACGTTCGTATAGGAACGCACAACCGGTAGACTGGCAGTACATGAAGCAGTTGTTGTGGACGGCCAGCGAGTTTGGGGGGGCAATCGGGCAATGTATAGTAGTATCTAAGGGGGCAAAAGAGAGAGTGATCTCCGCGGTTTCTCAATGCAGACATAGGCCATCGCTGCTGGACCACGCCTGATCTCGTAGGCCAGTGCGGCGTTCGAGATGGCCGTGTCAAAGACCGCGCCGTGTAACAGATTGCAACGGTGACTTCCACTAATCTTGTTAGATAATGGCTCTCTTGAAAAGGTATTTCGGTTTTAACGAAATTAACATTATTTAACGATCCGTGGATGGCTTCTTATTTACGGAAATATGATATAAATAATACAAAAGTATACAGGGTGTTACGAAATTAATCCACAATATTTTAAGAAAGCAGATTTACTGTTTATACAGGGTGTCCCATTAATATTGCGAAAAAATGCAGGGGGAGTTAGTTTTCTTAACCAAATATAAGAAAGAAAGTTCCTACAAACCTATGTTCGGAAATGCTTCGTTTCAGAGATACAGGGTGTTGAACTTTAGAGAAAATACAAGGTTTTTACTAATATCTGGAGAACCCTTATTCCGATTTTTTTGAAATTTGGTATGTTTGTTTATAAAAACGATAGACATCTTCTGACGTAATTTGATTCATTTTATCTATTCCAGCGGGGTCCTGTTGATATTAATAAGTAAACATATGAGACGTCACTGCTTTTTCTTAGGTGTCATATGTTTTTCTAATTATGCGATAAAAAATACTTGTTCGTCTCTTTACTTTTTTTGATATCTTGCTTCGTTTTCGAGCAAAAAATTAATAGCTTAAGTGTGTGATTTTAATAAGTACTTGAACTGTGTACTTGTCGATTCCTGCTTATCAAAATTAATTACACAAATAGTGAAATGTGCGATATGCACTTTCTTTATGGCCTTGCCAACGGTAATGCATTAGCCGCCAGGCGCCTTTATGAGCAGGAATACCCTAATCGTATAATTCCTCATCATACTATTTTCACCCGTCTTCATCAACGTCTTAGTGAAATTAGAAGTTTTCGAAAACTTACCGCAGGAAACGGGCGACCCCGCACAGCAATAACCCTACAATTGGAGGAAGATGTACTTCATGAAATTGAGGACACTCCAACAAGTACCAGACAGATTGCTAGAAACTTAAATGCAAGTCGTTCTACAATTTTCAGGATTTTAAAAAATAATCTTCAATACCCATATGCAACAGGTTCAGGCACTTTTACCTACTGATTTTGCGTTAAGAATAGATTTTTTTTTACCACCGAGGCTTACTGGAGATGTTTATCGACGTTTTCTTGAGGATGAATTGCTTGTACTTTTGGAAGACATCTGTTAAGGTTGCAAATGTATTTTATGCACGATGGTGCTCCACCCTATTTTAGTTTAGCTGCATGTGAATATTTGAACAATATCTACCCAAATCGCTGGATAGGTCAAGGAGGCACTCAATCCTGGTCCCAGAGGTCTCTCGACTTGGATTTTTTCCTTTGGGGTCACCTCAAACATTTGGTTTATACGACTCCAGTGCAAATCATAGACGAATTAAGAAACCGCATTATCGCATCCTGTGAAACAATTAGACATACAGCCGGAATATTTGAACGGGTTCGCCAATCAATGTGTCGTAGGATAGATGACTGTATTAGAGTTGAAAGTGCACATTTTCAACAACTGTTGTAATGCCTGTGTATGTAAAGTATTTTTCATATCATTGCTGTTTGTTAAATATTTTTTCTTATGTTTAAAATATTATTTAGCGAGTTATTGTTTCTTCTTCAAATTGTTTTTCCTTCAAATGTATTGTTAAAGTTGATTAGTAAATAACTAAAACATAGAATTTCTATTTTTGTTCTTCCCTTAAGAATGTGCATATGAAAGGATATTAATTTTTTGCTCGAAAGCGAAGTAAGATATCAAAAAAAGTAAAGAGACAAAAAAGTTGTATTTTTAATCGCATAATTAGAAAAAAATATGACACCTAAGAAAAAGCAGTGACGTCTCTTATGTTTACTTATTAATATCAACAGGAGTGAGACCCCGGACGCCGCTGGAATAGATAAAATAAATCAAATTACATCAGAAGACGTCTACCGTTTTTATAAACAAACATACCAAGGGTTTTTCAGATATTAGTAAAAACCTTGTATTTTCTCTAAATTTCAACACACTGTATCTCCGAAACGAAGTATTTTCGGACATAGGTTTATAGGAACTTTCTTTCTTATTTTTGGCCAATGAAACTACCCCCGAATTTTTTCGCAATATTAATGGGACACTCTGTATAAGGCTAGAGTCCAGAGTCCCTTATTCAAACCCGTAGATTTCTATATTTATTTATTTATTTTTATTAATTACTTGAAAATTTCATAAATTTTAATTTAATAATTTTTATGTTTTTTCTTTGTATTTCCAACAGTTTTTGAGACACCTGGCTCAAATTTGGACTGTAGGTTAAATTAGATTACCAACATCATTAGCCTTTCCTAATAGTTGTCACGATCTACAGGGTGATAATTTTTCTGGGTCGGACCTTCTTTCAGTCCCGCAAACTTTCTTCCGGTACAACACTGGCCTTTTCAAGAACAAGGGTTTAATTCACTGTTCAATTTAGAAACTTTTTGTCTCTTGCAATGGTTACAATGTACTGCCGTCTTCGAGCAAAAAAACTAAAAATGATTTCCTGTAAATCGCTAAATTAAAAGCTGGATTTCAAAATCCTCTACTTATGTTAGTAGATTGATAAAATTAGAAATTTTAATAATGCGGGATACCTCACATATTTTCTTATTAGTTTATTCGATACTATTTAATGAATTTTCAGGTGCTCGTAAATATCTCTTACAAACAAAAGTTTAAAAATTCAAGGCATAGCCAGATTTTCGAAATTCGTAATAATAAAGAAATGTTTATTTTGGTTAATACATGCACACCAAAATCAAAGTTCAAAATCTTGGAACACATGTGGCTTAGCATGCGTTGGAATATCGATCTACATGCGACTAAAAATAGTCGTACTTTACATAACTTGGAATAAATACACTTAATGTTTCAATCAGCTGCTTGCAGCGAAATGTGATACTAGTTTTCTTCCAGAATTTCCGTAAATATTAGATGACAATACTCAAAAATAGGGTGACTAAAGGACCCCGCACAAACCTAATGGATTTCAGGTCCCGGAGGATGTGTCTGAATTTTTGATATTTTGTACTTGATATCCTCCTGATCAAAAGAGTCAATGGGTACAAACTTGGACAAGAATGGACAGCTCTTGAGATACCGAAGAGCAAAGTCCCCTAAAATGAAACGTTTCTTGGGACTGCACGGTGATTAGATATACATTTTGGATCGTAATAGATATTTAAGTGCAATATTTTCATGTATATTTGACCCAATTAACTTCGATAATCCATCTACCCTAATATATATACAGGGTGTCCCATTTTAAATTACGCACCTGAATATCTTGTTAGGGAAGCCACCAATCCGAAAATATTGGGTTCGGAGGGGGATATCGGATGGTGACCTTAATTTTGACCTCGATCTTAACCTTCAAGACCATTTTTAAGGTCAAATCTAATTTTTTAAATAAGAACCTGTATCTTTGGTCCCGGAATAGAAAGAGCGCAAAATTTTACGTTGACTTATGGCTCGTTTACATTTAGAACGTTCGTTTACGTTTAGATAGGTACTTAAGGCTCTTCTTCATCAAGGTTAAATTGAAGGACACCATCCGATGTCCTCCTTTGAACCCACCAACTTTTGTAAGGGTTATTTTCGGATTGGTGGCTCCCCTGACGAGATATTCAGGTCCGTAATTTAAGTTATTTTGACCTTGACATAACATTTAAAGGTCGTTCCAAAGAAGAGTCTTAAGTACCTATCTAAACGTAAAATTTGCGCTCCTTCCGAATCTGTGGTCAAAAATAGAGGTTTCTACTTAAAAAATTATATTTGACCTTCAAATGCCCTTGAAGGTCAATGTCAAGGTCAAATTGAAGATCTCCATCCGGTGTCCTTCTTTGAAACCATCACCTTTCGTAAGGGTTATTTTCGGATTTCGAATAAAATGGGACACCCTGTACATATATTAGGTTAAATGGATTATCGGAGTTAATTGGGAAAAATATACATGAAAATATTACACTTAATAATGATAATGATCCAAAATCATATATCTGATTTGACCGCCTAGCCGGGTGTCTTGGCCGGCGGATTTCGATCTGCCGAGGCAAGCATCACGGACGTAGGCTGGAATTTGGATGGGTGACCTAAGGCAGGCTCGGGGACGTGGCTGTGGCAGCCTACCAGAGACCTGGGTCGCCCAACATTTGCTACATGCGTGTGGTCCTCGATATATGGTAATGAGAACAGAGCAAAGAAAATCTCTGTAACTCAAGACCATGTTATCATACATAAACTGTACGAGACTTTGCCACCAAGCCACCCGTGTAGTAAATAGGATGGTTTGAAGAAAAGTACTCGAGTAATGAAGGAGGGTGTACAAGGGGCCTAATAAGGCCTAAGTGCCGCGGTGGAAAAACAATTCCACCACCCTCCGACATACATACATACATACATACATACATACATACATACATACATACATACATACATACATACATACATACATACATACATACATACATACATATATCTGATGGTCTCAAGGAATGTTTCAGTTTCGGGAACATTGTTCCTCGGTATCTCAAAAACTGTCCATTTTTGTCCAACTTGGTGCCCATAGACACTTTTGATTAGGAGGATATCAAGTACAAAATATCAAAAATACAGACAAATCCACCGGGACCTGAAATCCATAAGGTTTGTGCCGGGTCCTCTGTCCCAAGAAATTACATTTCAAAATTATAAATGTAACACTTGTTTATTTTTTAATTATTGTAATAATAGGAATCAATATATATTTTATTTTATAACGAAAACTATCGTAGTTGC